ATTTTACTTGTGAACATGCCAATAACATAAGTGTGGGGTAGTTACCCCATTTGGTTTTGTTTTGGGTTTTCGTGTTGTGGTTAATATTATTCGTCTTGTGCAAGTAGAATGTCATGCCGCCCGAGCAAACGCTCTAACACTGGTTCGTCTGAGGTTGCTTCTAGCAGCCGTCGTGGTGGGAGACGAGCACCTCCCCATGCCCCAGTAGTATAGGAAGAGGAGCGCATTGACCCTGATGCGGATGTGGTACCAACATGCAAATATGGTATACGGGCTGTCCCCGCCCATGCTCGTCGCTGTTTTCAGACATTTGTCCCTTCAGTCAACCCGGATCTTGAGGTTGCTATTGACGATGGGAAGTTAGCCCGTAAATATGGTAAAATTTACAACAACATTCGGGCTTTGGGTTTCGACAGTTTGTTCCGTCCGGGTGATACGGTGAATGTGAACCTAGTGAAAGAATTTTATGCTAACTGGCAACCTGAAGCCAGCCTGGATGTTGTTTACGAAGTGCATGTAAGGGGTAAAGTGATTCCATTCTCCTCCCAGGTGATCAATCAGATTATGGGATTCACAGAGCATTCCCACAAGCTCTTTCAGAGGTTTCTCCGCCGACCAGACTATCCGTCTATTCACCGCATGTTATGTGGTGCTGACTCTTCTGCCGCATGGACACGAGATGCCAATGAATTCCACAAAGATATGAAGAAGGCAACTTTCTAGCGGCCAGCCATGGTTCTGTTGTGGTTGATTAATGCCAAGATCACGCCGATTGGAAGTGCCACTGATGTACCCCGTCTGAAGGTGTGTTTGATTTATGCCCTGTTGACTCGGATGCAGTTCGACCTTGGTAAAATCATGCTTGAGCATATGGATAAAGTGAGACCACTTGGGGCTCGCCGTCTTCATTACCCGAGTATGATCACTCGATTGTTGTGAGCACACATTGTGGAGGAGGAGTACCACTATGACAGGACTATTCCAGTGTCTTACCCGATGAAGATGTGAACTCCATTCCCTCAGATGATGAGGAGTATTTGCGCACCTTCGAAGGTGTTGATGATTACGCCTTGGGCCTCAGGGAGCACCCTTTTCACTCTTGATTTTACTGCTTTGCATTAGGTTCAATGCAATCTCTTAAGTGTGGGGTGGGGTGCTCCTAATTGATTGTATTTGTACTTCTCTTTGTTTGTTTCTTGCTTTCTTAGACAATTGGTCTGTAAACTATAATTCTGAATTCTATCGGTCCTGTAATAGTTAGTAATTAAGTATGTAGTTCGACTCTTCCCGACGATGGATATTGTCGACTGATTTCTTGAGGGAAATGAGTCGAAAGAAAAAAAAATATATGTCTTTTATTTTTTTATTTTTTTCTTTCTTTCTTTCTTTTAGGTAGTGTAACAATTCCCCCTTGGTTTTTCTTTGTGCCGCGGTTCTTTTCCAAGAGTTTTGCTTGAACCGTGTGTAGTTAAATCTTTTTATTTATTTATTTATTTTTGTAGGAATTAAGAATCTTTAGTTAGGAAGCTAAGTTGAAGGATCAATTTCCCTTGATTGTATATGCCTTGAGAGTGGTAAGGACCTTAGTTGTGACACCTAGGCTCAATTCTTGACTCTTAAATAAGTGCCTTAAATCGTAACATTAAAACTGTGCTTAACTGCTTTGACTAAGAGTGTCTTGATTAGTCCAATCCTGAGTGAGTTATGTGTCATATGTGTGTAAGGTTTTGTGTTATTCTGTGCAGTGCATTTGATGCCTAGAACTTGCCCGGTGTATTTGCAAAGCGAAATAGTAGTTTTGTTCAGTCTTGGAAGTGATATAGACATTTCTTTGTTGAGCCATATATACATATTTTACCCGCCTAATTGTGATATATCGTAGTTAACCTCTTTGAGCCTATAATCCTGTTTCTTTGGCAACCACATTATAAGCCTTACCCAATTGTTTTAATTGACCATATATTCGAATCTTTTCACCTCTCATGAGCACTTGAATTGCTATGAACTTTGTAAAAGTTAAAGTGTGGGGTGGTGGGTGTGGCTTTTGAGTGGAACTAATGGAATAAGGAGAAAGGTGCATTGTGTTAAATATATATATATATATATATATATATATAAGAGCCACTTGAATTGAAAAAGAAAGAAGAAGAAGAAAAAAATAATAATACAGGTATATATATATATATTCTTTGATAGTGGTGGCTCTTGACGTACTTGTGCTTAAAGATGTAGGGAGTTAATCTGTATTGATGTGAATGTGGTGTTTTGGTTTGACATAAGTGAGGTTTGAATGTTAAAGTATATGTATTAAAGTTCTTAGGGAGGTGTAGTCACTCTTATATCTAAATGTATCCTACCCGTCCCGCAGCCTACATTACAACCAATTAAAGTTCTACTTGATCTTAGACTGAATGAGCTCTATTAGTAGAGTAGTACACTACGGGCAATCCTATGGTGCATCTTTTGTGGCATATGAATGTTATTTCTGAGAGTGAGTGAATTCTTTCTATCTCGAGTTCCTAAATATTCTTAAATTTTATTGTGTGGGACTACTAGCTTTTGTTGTGTGAGGGCAATTGATTCAGGAAGGAGAGGTAATATCATTGACCTCTATGTTAGAGTAAGTGGGCGAGTGACTAATGCATGGTACTTTTGAGTCAAATCTTGAGGGTGGGATGTTATGATAAGGTGCTCCGTCTACTTTAATTATTCTTGGCATGATGTATCAAGGAAGTTGTTTGATGAAAGGTTATCCCTAGGTGCAGTGTAGTTCAAATGCTCGAGGATGAGCAATTGTCTAAGTGTGGGGTGTTGATGTTAGGCTAGAAACTCGTGTTTTAGCCGTGGTATTACATTCCAATGATTGCATTTTTATGTGTGTTTGAGCTCAAATGATAGTGAATTACACTTAGTACGTGTTTTATGCTTTGAAGGAAGCGATCCGGAGCTCAAAAGTTAATTTGGAGCTAAATTGATCAATTTGGAGCTTTGAAGTCTGAGTAAAAGCCCAATGCATTAAGCCGGGATCGTGTTTGGAGGTCGTGTACCAAGTCTGGATGTTAAAAGAGGACGGAAAAAGTTCACTCTGAGAAAATTGCACTGCTGCGCCACATGGGGCGCCGCAGTGTAAAATTGAGCCTGACTCGAAAATATGAGGCTGTAGATAAAATGCACTACCGCGCCGCATGGTGCGGCGCAGCCTGCGGCGCGGCTGTTCAAATTTTATAGAACTAGTTCCTAGTTCGCGCAGGAAAGGGTTTTTTCGTCTGGGCCCGACCCTACTTGGTATAAATACATGTAAAAATGCCATTTTGAAGACTTTTGACATATTTTAGACCTAGGGAGGCTATTGCGGAAGGGAGAAAATGTTTGGAGCAATTTATGGAAGAGATTGGCATCAAAGTCTTCATTCCTTCATCTTTGCTTTGTAATTTAATTATGCAATTTATTTGAAAAATTATGAATACGGTTATGAGTAGCTAAATATTTAGTCTAGGGTTTTGATGGATCTATTGAAGGATGAACTTCTTGTTATGTTAATATAGTTTGCGTGGTTTAATCTATATTTGTTCAATTATGTTCTTGTTGTAGTTAATTACTAGGATCCTTAAATAGCTGTGCCTATTTAGTGTGCATAACTCGGGAGAGAGTGCATATTTATGTAATTGTTGAACAACACCACTCCTAGAGTATACGAGGGATCAATAATCGAGGGTTTAAAGATGGGATTAGGGATAACAAAGTCTTGGGTGCAATCTAAAGTGAGCTGTAATAAACAAAGCTAGCTAGCGTAACTCGGGAGAGTGTGTCTAGTAAATTGTCGTGATTACTCGGGAGAGATTTACGGTAATAAGAGTGCTTATGATTGATAGAGACGATTAGGTGAATCTATGTGAAACATAACCGGAAGGGATTCTATCAATAGGTGAAATCATAACCTTAGATCCTTCTCTTAATTGTTTACAACTTAATCATAGTTAGTCTTTACTTACATAATTGTAGTCCGTCATAGTTAGTAAAAATATCCTCAATTGTTATTCAAAACGTTTGGGAAGGTGATTACGTAGAATTTAGTGAGTCTGATAAGAGTAATTGGTAGGTTAATTCCTTGTGGGTTTAACTTCGGACTTGTAAACCGGATTATATTTGCAACGTCCGCGTATCCTTTTTATAAAGTATAGTTGGGTGTGATCAATATACAAATCAAATTCAACCATTCTTACTTGATAAAACATTATTGGATCGATTTCTATTGCCTTGTCAAGATTAGGTTCTTAAATAGTTGTGAAAAATGACTACTCATATATCATTTTTAATACTAAAGAATCTGATCTCTATTGAAATAATCATATCTTTTCGAATTCTTCAGTTTTTGAGAAGTAATCAAAGGAGAATATAAATGGCCTCAACCGTAGTTGGATTCATTGATTTGAGTGTGTAAAGCATTTAAGTATTATTAATTCACTTCTAATTCACCCACTGCTAATGTAATAAAAAATTTATTTAATTGAAGGTTTGTCATTTACCATCTTGTACTATTATTTATATTGAAAAAGCTAACATGCACACAAATTCTTGTAGGAATTTAATTGACTTTTAAGGTTAAAAAGGGCATTCAATTTTTAATGGGTATTTTGGTCTTTTAATCTTTAATTTGGGACTTTATACTTATAATATAATATGATGACATACGACACAATTCAATAGTTACAAAATATAGTAATTCAAAGTCTAATGTTATTAGCTTAGAATCTTATAGAGTAGCATGTTTGGCCAAGTTATTATAACATAAATAGACCAACTACAAGTTGTTGCTCTATATGCTTTTTTCAGTACTTTTTAAAATAAGTAAACTTTAAAAATTTGATCAAACAGGTTATTGATGATTATCTTATTTATGGCGATAAGTTAGTACTTCCTATTTATGTTAAAGTTATTATTTCCAAAAAAAATAAAAACAATTTTTAATTTCCATATAACTAGTGGCTAGAAAGTTGACAAAATCCAATGGAAACTGAATTCTCAAAATCCCTTCTTAACTATCAACCAACCATTCATCCTAACGGATAAAACTATGGCCATGGCCACCACCACCACCTCCTCCGCCGCCGCCCCACTCCTCTCACCGACCACCAATTCCCTGCACAGAATTACCAGAATAGCCTTCATATCTGCCACCCCAAAATGCAACAGGCCAATAACCAAGCTCCACGTGTCCTCCAAGCCAGTAGCAGCCGCCACATCCTCCTCCAAACCCAATCAAGAAACCATCTTTTTCGACGGCGGAGCTCACTACGGAGACCTTTTAGCTAACCTTCTTCTGGGTTTCACTCTTGTTTGGATGCCGTTAACTCTAGCTGCAGTTTTCAGAGCATTTTACTTGAGGTACAGGTTTACAAATTTGAGGGTTACTGTTATTTCAGGTCTAACTGGTCAAGAGAGAAGTGACTTTTCATATAAAGTGGTCAAAGATGTTCAGGTTGTGCCAAGGTTTATTGGGGAATGGGGTGATGTTATTATCACTTTGAAGGATGGAACTAAGGTGGATTTGAGAAGTGTTCCTAAATTTAGAGAGATTGCTAAGTATTGTCTTTCTATGACTGATAATCAAGAGCCTGGGGTTTTGAAGGAGACTGATGGGCCTAAAGGCTTTTGAGAAATGGTTAGTTTTTACTTAATTTGTTGGATTCATACGTTATTCTATCTCTGAAAAGTTTGGGACTGAGGCGTAGTTGTTATGTTGTGTAAAGTTTTCATTGCAAGTTAATTATTCAACTGTGATAATGATTCTAGTATATGTCAAATTGATTTGTATATTGAGATGGGAAGTGTTTCTTTTAGTTGCTTAATTGTATTTCCTCGATTTGTTTTGGTAATCTCTAGTATGTCGATAGATCCTTCTATGTTATTTCCTTAATGTGTACTTTGTGCTTAATCTTTAAAATGCACTAAAATTAGCTAAAACTGCAAGTGTGTATGAGAATTATACTCACTTGTATTGGGAAGTTGCTCGTGACAAATCCAAATACAGAGGGTAAATGTCACAATGATTCGAATTTCTCGTTTGAAATGCAATTAGTGTGTCCTGTTGATGAGTTATACAAATGCTATGATAATACAGTTTAGCTCTTGCATTAAGCAGTACAGTCGACCACTTCATGTCATTGTTTAATGCCATAAGACATTTTTAGATGTTCTCAAGAATCATCAAGAGATGACATGCCCTGAGATTCTTCTGGCTTAATGTTAGTTACAAATCAATGTTGTTAATAACAATGTATCAACAGGGAATGTCAAACTTTTGATAAAAAAACTTCATCAGTAGTGAATAGGTGAACCCCCTATACAAGAATTTTATGATCAATTGGGGCTATAAAAGATATGGTTATCCACAAATGATCCTTTGAGGTTATGAATTGGCTAATACCTTCAAAGTGGTTGTAAGTCAATAGAAAGAGATTTATTTCAGTGCCTGATGTGGAATGTCTTAAGAAATTATAATAGGGGATAGTGCATAAGGAAGAAGACATATTTGCATCTTAATTTATTTTAGAATGTTGTGGTCTCTCTTCTGCAATTGTATGTTCACATATAACATTCCATCACCTTTTTTTATTCTTGCCTTTCTTTTCTTTTCCTTGTGGAGGGGCATGGATGAGGGACGGCGTGTTTCAAAGAAGCTTTCCTCGTCTGTCCTACAATATAAGGTGAATTTTAGAATGTTGTGGTCTCTCTTCTGCAATTGTATGTTCACATATAACATTCCATCACCTTTTTTTATTCTTGCCTTTCTTTTCTTTTCCTTGTGGAGGGGCAGGGATGAGGGACGGCGTGTTTCAAAGAAGCTTTCCTCGTCTGTCCTACAATATAAGGTGAAGAATACATATGCTAAATTTTCTTGATAAGAATACTCGGTAAATAGTGCTGACAAATGAATTCGATCTTGAAAGGATGAAACGAATTGTTAAATTCAGAAACTAAATATGAAATGTTTGTGCGAGTACTTTGGAGTTAAAATATTTTCCAGTCAGAAGATGCATAATGCAGAGAGCCTGTCATTGTAATGAGTAATGACAGTGAAACCTAAAGGTTTGTTAGGGGATTATGTCTGTCTTTGTTGCATATTGTAGCACACACTTGTATTGCTCTGTTTTAAATCGGAGCAGATTTAGCCTTGTTCAACCATAACCGCTGTCTGAAATTTGTTCAGACTTTTCTTATTCAACAGTGGCGAATATTAAAAGTGGAAAGCAATTTACTCTCAGAATCCTATCTTTTGTTCTTTGCAAATGCAGATACATTAATTATTTCATAATTATGTTTATGCTTGAGCTCTTGTGTGGTTACATCTGACATGGTATTCAATTCACTATTGAAGAGCAATTAAGATCTGAATTTTCTACTGTCGAACTCTCCCTTGGTAAATTATTCTACGCACTGACGTACAGGAAATATACTTTTGGGAATTTATCCTCTTGGAATTTTTTCTAACAGCCATGTTTGTTAGATAGTTTACAGTATATATGAAGTGGAATTGTCCCACAACTGAAGGAAAATATGAGTTTGAACACTTTATTATTAAAAGCCTAGGTATTTTCGGTTTTAATTAAAAATTGAATTCAAATTTAAGTTTTATATTTGAACAGACATGTCTACTCAATGACTTCTTCCAACTCTATAAATTCAGGCCTTCCTTTCATAAAGTGGCTAAGAAAAATCTGCAGGTATACTGTGGCTTTATTTTATCGTGAAGGGACTTGCCTGTATTTCACCAAATAGTATACGGGCAATATCTATTTTGTTAGGACCGAAATAATCAGGTGTCATGCGGAAGCTAGCAAAGCAAAATTGAACGACGATAAATCAGACAATAAAAGAGAAATATAGCAAAAGAGACACAAACATATAACGTGGTTCGGTCAACTAACCTGCATCCACAACGGAGATTGAACAATCCACTAGATAAAAAGAGAGTACAAAATATCGAGAGAACAACCTCACGAAGAGGCAAAAACAAGTGACACACTAACACTTGCCCCGAAAAGTTCTCACTCTAAACAAGACTCTCAAGTCTTTTATGGCTACATTGTGGATGCTACTTTCAAAGGAAGGATTCTCAATTTATAGAAGTCCAAATCTTTTCCTACAAGAAAAATGACTAGCCAATATGAAAGAATTATATTTTCCTTTTAGGAAAAGAAAAATTCAATTATGATAAATATATTGTCCTTTCCTTCGTGAGATAGGAAAACCAATTATGGTAAGAAAATCAGGACAACTCCTAACATCTTTAAGGAAAATCGATTTCACGCCTTAAAAGCCTTCTCTGATTTCACTCCTAACATCTTTAAGGAAAATCGATTTCACGCCTTAAAAGCCTTCTCTGATTTCTTCTTCAATCATGGTATTAAGCCTTGGATCAATGAGTACCAATGTCATATATTGACCTTATATGACAGCTACCCATTCTTTGATACAAGTAATAATCAGTAAATCGTAATTACCAGTTAGAGCGACATCAACTTAGAATAAGTAGTAAAAATGGCGTGTAGTAGCCACTAATTAAGGGTGTCTTTAATTTTTATCCACTAATTATAATGCTCAGCAAAAATAGCCACTACTAATAGAAAAAAGACAATTTTACCCTTTCTCCCTCTCTTTCGCGTTGCATTTTCATCTGGAATACCCAAGGTGATTTCACGGTCGGCCTCCCCCATGCTTGGTCAATAGCATCGGGTCTATTAGTAGCCCCAATTACTAGGACATAACCAGGTCCATCACGAGATCCTTCTGATTTTGCTTCACTATTTCTTTTACCAATACGTACAGTAGTTCCTTTTACATTATCAAAATTTTCAAGTTCTGAATTTTTGAGCAGATATCTCAATTACGTACAATAATTTCTTTCTTCTTACCTTGTTTTTGTTTCTTTTGAGTTCAAAGATTAAAAGTTAAGGACATGAGTCGTTAAGTTTGACATGCAGGTTTAAAAGTTAAGGACATGCAGTCCTTAAATTTGACATGCAGGTTCAAAAGATAAGGACAGACAGTCCTTAACTTATAGTTTCAATTTCAAAACTTAAGGACAGTCAGTATTTAAGTTATTGTTTCAAGTTCAAAACTTAAGGACTTGTTGTCCTTAACTTTGAGTTTCAGGTTCAAAAGTTAAGGACAGACAGTCCTTAACTTATAGTTTCAAGTTCAAAACTTAAGGACAGACAGTCCTTAAGTTATTGTTTCAAGTTCAAAACTTAAGGACTGTCTGTCCTTAACTTTGAGTTTAAAGTTCAAAAGTTAAGGACAGACAGTCCTTAACTTACAGTTACACGTTCAAAAGTTAAGGACAAGCAGTACTTAACTTACAGTTACAAGTTCAAAAGTTAAGGACAATAGGTCCTTAACTTTGACTTACAAGTTCAAAAGTTAAGGACGCTTGGTCTTGAAGTTTGAGTTCCAAGTTCAAAAGTTAAGGACATGTAACCTTGAAGTCCTGAACTTAGAGTTCCAAGTTCAAAAGTTAAGGACATGTAGTCCTGAAGTCCTGAACTTAGAGTTTCAAGTTCAAAAGTTAAGGACATGTAGTCCTGAAGTCCTTAAGTTAAGGACATGAGCAGAAGGGTATTTTCGTCTGAGCAGTTAAAGTTTATTAAACCAGTGGCTAAAGACTAAAGACATTTAAAACGCTGGCTTTAAAATAAAGCCATGAGCAGTTAGTGTCTATCTGTGCAGATCGCCCGAATAAGTATTGCCGCTAAAAAGACAAGGCTGGAAATGCCTCTTGAAAATTCGTGTACATTGTTGTAAATGGGAAAGCAAAAGCTGGACTATGACCAAAATTTGTGTACATTGTTGTAAAAGGGGCTTCATGATTTATCCACTCCACCGCTTCCTGTAAATTTTCTAAGCAAAGGAAGTGTGGGAAACAGAAGTAACAGAAGTCCATTGGTGGCGTCAAAATAGGGTAAACTGCCATATAAGTAGAGCTTTAAATCTCTGGAACTGGGATACAATTGAATGCCACAAGAATTTACTCAGCAACAAACCTTTAGATTTCACATGATGCACCATGCAGCTTCCGAGCAACTCGTTGTCTGATTCATTACTGTAAGAAAAGCTATCATTGAACTAAAATGATTTACCAAAACTTTTCAAAACATCGGTTCATATATGTTAATTCTTTTGAGATACATTGGCCTATAATGGAAGTGTGACCACTTCCGGTACACTGGAATTGTAAAAGGTGAGAAAAGGTTAAACTACTGAACCGTCTACACCAATTTCAAAATTATAATATGTTAAGTGGACTTCTTCTTCTTCGGCATCCTCTGCAACTTCCTCCACTTTAAATATATCTGGTATGACAATCCTGAGAAGACCATGATGACACTTGCCCATTGCTTTGTAGACAAGGGATTGCCACTTAAAACAGATGACACGACTATGCTAACAAACTTGCGCGTCGTGGTGATGGTTGTGTTAGTTAAAGAACCAAATCGGCTAATGGTTAGAAAAATGAAGTTCTGGCCAACAGCACCACATAGACAGTACATAAGAATGTCCCATGCTGCCTCTGGATGCTGTTTACAGAATTGAACTGCCTCAAACCCGCTGGCATTTGGCCAGCCAAACATGACGATCATATTGTAAATGGTACCCCATAAATTCATTCCTAACATAATATCCCAAGCAGATGTCTTAGGGTACCTGAGAAAAATAGATGAATCGTATCAGTAACTACAAGTAAATAATAAGAGTTTCATCTAACCAATGACATATGGCACATCCCTTGGCAAAGTCGAGGACAAAAACATATGCAACCAAAGAATGAACTGTTAAACTTATGGCCTGACAGTGAAGTTGAATCATATAGCACATG